TATTAGGTAAATTTACAATGTAACCGATATAAATATACCGGTTTTATGATAAAATAGGTCAGCATCAAGTATCGACACTTGCTAAATTTGTGTCGATACTTTTGGTCCAGAATGAATATCAAAAAGGGTGCAACCATAAAGTGTCGATATATTTATAAAAAGTATCGATCCCGGAAACATCAAAACACATAAGTATAATGTAATAGGTAAATGTTCAATGTAACCGGTATAAATATACCGGTTTTATGAGATAATAGGTCTAAATAATGTATCGACACGTTGTCAGTTTGTGTCGATACTTTTTTCCAGAATGAAATATGAATGCCCAACCAGGTGCAAGCATAAAGTGTCGATACATTTAAAATTGTATTGGTCTAAAAAACATTATAACCGATAATAATATTGTAATAGGTAAATTTGTAATGTTACCGGTATAAATATACCGGTTTACTTCGAAAATAGGTCAATATAAGCGATACCTATTACATTATATAAGAGCTACCTAATATGTTATTGTACTTGATAATATTTCCGGTTAAATGCCTATTTTATTATATAAGCGCTACCTATTACATTATATAAGCGCTACCTAATATGTTATTGTACTTGATAATATTTCCGGTTAAATGATATAACATTACCGGTCAAAATTTTAATCGGTCACGCCGTTTTTTAGCCGTTTTTTAACCGCCGCACAGCAGAACTGCCCGTTGGAAAGAGGCTGGTCTAGATTTCTAAAGTTAGCTTGGATAGAGAAATTTGAAATAAGATATTTTAGGTTTAATACATTTTTTAGTGTCTAAATTATATTTTAAACTAACTTTTAATGTCTAAAGAATTTTGTTAAAAATATATACATAACATTTCAACGTTACATTTTTAGGTGTCTGGACTTTAACAATCGTTAAATGTAGTTGTTATCTGACACGTATCACGTATATCAAAAATTTAATATTATAATTTTAAAAAACAAAAAACCCCAAAATTCCACCGTCGATTTGTGGTCGTCATTATTGACACCATCAAAATCATCTTTCCGCCGTGATCAAAGCCCAACCTCCGACCCACCGTGAAACTGCGTCGATCTTCGTGAAAAGTGTCGTGAATGGTCGTTGATTTTTTAAGTTTTCCTTCACTGTTTGTTGTCGATTCTGATGGTTACAACTGGTCGTACGTTACACTGTCATCGTCATTGAGTTTCTCACCCTGCTATGAAGAAAATTCAACTGGTCGTACGTTACACGACCGCCGTCATTGAGTTTCTCACCCTTCTCCGAATAAAATTCAATTGGTGGTGACCCTTAATCGTCATCGGATGTGGAGAATAGGATGGAGAGGGACGATGTGGGGTTTGTTTTTTGAACTTTTTTTTTTGAAAAATAATATTTTTATCATTAAAAAAACAAAAAAAATGTAATGGTAGGCACCTAAAAGTATAGCGGAGAAAATATTAGACACATATTTTTAACGAAAAGATTTTCAGACACCAAAAGTCAATTTAAGATATAGTTTAGTCACTTACTTTTGTATTAAGTCAATATTTTATAATGTTACTACTTATTTTGTTTGGAAATTAAAAAAAAAGAATATTTAGACTATTAAACTTTCATTAAAAAATAGGGTAAATTACACATTTAATGCATTAACTATCACTTTTGTTTTGTTTTAATGACTCAACTATTTTTGTTTCAAAATCATACCTAACATTACATTTTTATTTTATTTTGATCACTCACTGTTAAAAAATTAATGGTGATATTATCGTGTCATCATAAAGTATTGACACACCATCATTGAAAAAATGACATGTCAACAAATTTGTTAATTTTTTAACAGTGAGTGACTAAAATAAAATCAAAATGTAACGTTAAGTATGATTTTGAAAAAAAATAACTAGGTGACCAAAATAGAACAAAAATAATTTTCTTTAAGGGGAAAATGTGAGGATTTTTAGTTAAGGGGAAAAATGTGTATCAAATAATTGTATCAAATATATATATATATATATATATAGGGACAGAGCCAGGATTTTAGTTCAAGCGGAAAAATGTGAGGATTTTTAGTTAAGGGGTAAAGTATAATTAACAATAGAAAATTGGGAAAAATCAAAATTTGAAACCCTAAATAGATATTTTCCCAAAAAAATTAATGATAAAAAATTTGGGGGCAGTAGGCCCCCAAGGGATAATGTACCTCTGTTTCTGTATATATATATAATATGCGTTAAATATAAGAATAATATTTGTTCAAAGATAACTTTCAACTATTTCATATCAAACGCTCATATTCCTAACATTTATGGTACTCAAAATCGAAACCTCAAATAATAAAATAACATTTTATAATTTAAAATATTTCATCTTATAATATAATGATATGTGGATTAAATAAAAATAATTTTAGAAAAAATTGAAAACCATCTCTTTAGGTAATTTTTCTTTAAAAAAAATAGTTTATATCATGGGTAAACTACTTGAATAGCCACCTAACTATAAGGTTAGTGTCAATATGACCACCATTTTCAAATTTTCATAAATATGACCACTTAACTAATGAATTAGGTTCAATATAGCCATATGTCATTAACTTTTAACATAAATGCTTAGGTGGCGGTTAACAAAATTGGTATAATTATATATTTGATCCTCGATATTCTAAATTATATCAATTTGGTCATAATTTTAATTTAATTCAATAAATTTAATCATCTAATCACATGGTGACACATGTAACTATTAGATTAATGATATTTTTTATAATTTTAATTTATTTAATTTAGTTATTTAACTTCCAATCAAATGGTGGCATGCATCATCTGGCTAAAAGAGAATTAAATTGTAAGAAAAGGCAAAATAAAAGAGTTAAGAGGAATCAAACTCAAAACCTACAGAAGGTAAGCATGCGCACATGACCACTAAACCGACCTCCATGCTTAGGTTGTGATTAACAACATAATGTATATATTTTAGAAACTAGTTAATGCTAGAAAATAAAAATAAATGAAAATGCCTATGGAAGGATTTGAACCTAGGACACGCGAAAAACTTGAAAGCACCAAACTACTAAACCAAACATTACATTAAAATTTTATTTGGATAGATTATATATATTTAACATTGATTTAAACAATATTAAAAGAAAATTAAATTTAAAATTTATATATATTAATTTAAAAATTATTTTTATTAAAAAAATAAAATATATAATTTAAGTTAAAAATAATGATTTTAAATTACACATTTTAAACTACACAATATAATAAAAAATTTAACTAAAATATAAATGATTCATCATTTTATTTTTTAATAAAAAATAAAATCATTAAATTAAAAAGATTCAATTTAAGATAATATATAATCATTGAATTATAAATGTGAAAAATGTTGAATTTATTTTAAAAATATATAAATTTGAAATTTAATTTTCTTTTAATATTGTATAAATCTGTGTTAAATGTATATATAAAATATATCAAAATATTATTTAAATGTAAGGTTTGGTTTAGTGGTTTGGTGCTTTCAAGGCCTAGGTTTAAATCCCTTCATAGGCATTTTCATTTCTTTTATTTTCTAGCACTAATTAGTTTATAAAATATGTACATTATGCTTAGTGGTTATATGCACGAGTTTGGACTCCCTGAGTCTTAAGTTTGAATCCTCCTAAACTTGTTTTTTATGTCTATCCTTGTAATTTATTTTTTTTGAACCAAATATTGATATGTGTCACCATTTGATTATAGATTATTAAATTTGTTGAATTGAGTTAAAATTATAATCAAATTGATAGACTTTACAAGTATTGATTATCAAATATATAACTATATTAATTCTGTCACGTAAACACTTTCATTAAATGTTAACGGTATGAGGCTATATGAAACTCAATTAATTAGTTAAGTGGTCATATTGACGTGGTGGTCATCTCGACATAAACCTCATATTTAATTGGCCATTCAAATTGTTTACCCTTATATTATTTAGTTTGAAAAGGGATAGCATACAAATATAAATACAACACATTCAAATTATGAGTAAAATTAATCAAATGAAAAATATAAATATAAATTGAAATAAAATAAAATAATTTTAGATAACATCATGTATAATAAATTTAAACTAAAATGAATTTAAATAAAATTCAACTAAAATTTAAATATATTTTTGTTCAAGCATCAACCCCAAACTTTATTGGTTGATATCGATATCATCTTTTGTATGTGGATTTAAATATTAATTGAGGAGTGACAAGATTGTTAATGTTATTTTATTTGTGTGAATTTGAAATTTTGATATTCATCTTAGAATTATAAATATTTTTTATTTAATAAAAAAAATTAAAAACGATATATAATTTTACGTCAGAGGTGAATTTTTAAAATTTTAAGTGTGATGAATTTACAAAATTCTAGGAGGACAAAAATATATTATCAATAGAATATACATAAAAGAGATCTAAAATATATGATAATTTGAAATTTTCAAAGAGACGACTATCCCCTAATCATCTTCCTCGATACATCCTTGAAAAAATCATGAATCGTTCGAGTTTTCTTTTGAAATCTAATTTTTTTTTATTAATCTAGGATGCTTATAAACGGTAGTATATGTTTTAGAGACGCTTAATCATTTAACAATAAACACTCAAATATTCTATACAGTAGTTAATGCTCGAACTCGAGACATCTAAAGATAACAAACATCTCTTTAACTATTAAAATAACATGATTTATACTTAAAATTTAAAGTCAATTTTAAGATCTATCTTTATATCATCATATATTAGTCCGCATACAATTTAATTTTAAATTTAATGTGACATATACTTGTATTACATTCACATTAATATAGCAATAAGTATATGGAGTATTATTACTACGCCAGCTCCCTCTCCGTTTCTCTCTCCCCATCCCATTCACTTTGAGTTCGACCCGCTGCCAGCCACAGCCACCTCTTTTATCTTCTCTAATGGCGACCCCACCCGGCACTATCTTGTAAGGATCTTCCTCTTAGTGCAAAACATTTGTTTGATGAGATATCTTCCTCTCCCATTTTTTCTTTCCTAAAGAAAAACAAAAGCTTAAATAACCTTTCTTCTCCTTTCACTTCTCTCTTTTCCTACTCCCGAAACCCTAATTCACTTCATCGTTTACGGTGAGTAACCAACAGCAACAGAAAGAGGAAAGAAAACTTCGGTTTTTTGTGTGTCTGGAAAGTTGGTTTTCTTTTTTTAAGAGGAGATCAAGTTCGATATCAGAGGAAGGGGAAGCTTTAAATTTATTTTACAAGGATGTACTTTCTTTTCATTCATTTTTTGCCTACGTTTTCGCTCTCTTCATATTTGCTTTAACCCTTTTGATTTCTAGCTGCCATGGATTCCGGTAACAGTAGTAGCATGCAGTCTTCAAGTGGTGGTGGGGGTGATGAAGAGTATGACTCAGTCTCGAGGCCTGACTCAGTCCCAGCTTTTCTGAACAACACTTCAGGTCATTTTAACCCCCTATCAAATCAACACCCAGATGAGCCACCTACTTTATTTGATCCTTCTGCAAATTATCTCAACCCTTTCTCTCTATCTCTACCAAACAATTCTTCGCTGATGAATTTTGATGGGGTTGGTTCTCGGATGAGGCTAGGATCTGAACCCAACACCACTGACCTCGGTCAAGGCTCGTCTTTGTCGAGCCAGTTTATCTTAGGCTCACAAGGACTTGATCAAGGTTCATTCCCGAGCCCATCATCGATGCAACCGAGGTCAGCTCATGACAACGGTGTAAAGAACCCGAAGAAGAGGACAAGAGCATCGAGGAGAGCTCCGACTACAGTTCTCACCACCGACACAACCAATTTTAGAGCAATGGTGCAAGAATTCACTGGGATCCCAGCACCGCCGTTTTCTGGTTCGTCGTATTCTAAAAGGCTCGACCTTTTCGGATCTGGTTCAGGTTCTCTTTACCATTTACGTCCCTCGGCTAAAAGGCTTCACACGGCTCCATTTGCATCATCATCTTCTCGTTCATTGTTAAACAACCATTTACTCGATGCTGCTACAACAAGCAACACCGCCATGGCGAATGCTTTCTATCCCTCTGATTTAGGCTTACTAAAGCAGCCTCAGAGCATGCAAAACCAGAGCCAAATCTTATCGTTCCAGTCCTTCCTAGACCCTCCTCCTTTACACCCATCTCTTAGTTCGCCTGGCTTCGGTGTGAAGCCCATTGGAAGCTCTCCCATGCCTTCCGGTGATGAACTGGGGTTGAGTCACGGTCATTTAACACCAGAAGCGGCGCGTTCGAGGATCGACAGCAACTGGAATGATCATGGCGTTGGATTGAACGATAGTAATTATGGTGGCAATGAGCATAATTCACAAAGAGTTAACAGCTGCAAACTGAACTACTCGGCTTCATCGTCAGCTTTCCACCATGACAAGGGATTGGAGAATGTTTTATCGAGAGCTGAAGGTACACTCGATTCATGGATTTGTCCTACAGACTAGAAACCACACATCACTGCTTTTAACTTAATTTGCAGAAGAACCAGAAGGGTTTATTTTCTTCTTTTTGTTTATTTTAGAAAATAATTAATTCTTAAATCCATTATAATACTTGTATTCTGTCAGATATGTATTATCCTCCTTTTATTGGGATTAAACATTTACTAAGATATACACAAGAGCCATATATTATCCTCCCTCCTCGTACCTTGTCTACTGGGAGAAATTAAAGACATCGTTGCTTTTAATAAAATAAAAGGCCTTTTTGTTTTCTATTCCTTAAACTCCCCCAAACCCTAAAACCCCATGCCCCAACGCCTGGTGGTCCATTTCCCCAAGTGCTTCAAAATCTCTTGGGAACTGCTGCATCTTTATTATGCGACTAAAGTGAAGGAGAGATGACCAAGTACCTTCCCTGTCCGCTCTCACAACCTTTAATGTTAAGGATCAACTACCTATTTGGTCATCCATTTATTATTTAGTTTTTGTTCTGGCCTTCCAATAATTTTAAAAAGTGTATATACTGTTTTAGTTTATTTTCAATCATTTGTTGTTAAAAAAATTATAATAATGATAATGTGTCACCATAAAATAATAATACACACTGAAAAAAAGTTAAAAAAATATCTTATCAATATTACTATTAATTTTTCAATGTTAGGTGATTGAATAGAACTAACATATAATATTAAGTATAATTTAAAAAAATTTGAGAAAAAAATAAACAATCCTAATTGTTTAATCTATTCATCTTCTAATTTTTACAAGAAAATAAATAAATAAATATACGATTTATTCTCGTAGTTAATTTATTTAATGTACAATCCCAATACTTCCTCAAAATTTCTCTTGGGTAATTTATTGTTAACTTGTAGTACACTTTAAATAATTTTCTTCGTTGAACCGTCATTATTCGTTAATTTATCTTTATTTTTTTAACATTTGATTAAAAATAATATAGAAATCTAATATAAGGACGATTCTTTTAATCTAATTTTTTTTATCTATAAATATTAGGAGTTGAACTCCTAATATTATTTAAAAGATCTAATATTTGACACGAGTCAAATGATATCGGTGATAAAAGAATTGTTATTATTCTTTGAGGTTCAGTTCGAGCACCCTAAATGTATGGGGTATAAGTGTTCTATCTCATATGGTTAAGAGTTATTTTTGAATAAATGTTTTTGACTTACCCCATATTAATAAAAAAAATATCATTTTTCATCTCATTAGATTAATTAATTACTAGTTAAAAGTTTATCTTTTTATTAACTAAAAGGATAGAATAATATTTAATTTTTGAACTTCTATTTTTTCTTATTAATCCCAATATATTTTCACATCACTCATTGAATTTGGGTTTTAAATCATTTTAATGTTATAGTATTACATAATTATACTACATGACATAATTTTAAAGTGGCATATCATAAGAAGAATTAAAACTGAAAAAGTAATCAAATTCAGTAGGAAAAAAAAAAGATTCAGGAACTAAATTGGACCAAATATTCATTTAACCCTAAACTAAAGAAAGAGGGGACGGTGCGGAGCAATCGACGGCAAGATTGAAGGAACCCACACCTTACATGCCGCAATCATAAACTACTACGCGTCAAAAAAAATGCAGCTTCATATTATTTCAATAATTATTTACATCATTCTCCTTCATATATATTTCATTAATATCCTAAACTAATCTCTTAAATTACGATTAGTTTTTAAGGCAGCTGCCCTTCACGTTAAGGTATACTCCAATGAACTGAAACCACTTGTTGAATCGATTTAAAAGCATGGGAAAATGATTAAATATGAGAAATAGGGAGACGAGTAAGAAGAAAAAGAGGGAGCAAACAACAAGCCTATCAAGAAAAAGAAAAGATGATGATGAAGTGTTTGGAAAATAGACCAAGTGACACAAGGGGGATGATTGTTCGCAATAAGGCGATTTGTTGGGTGAATATGACATGTTCTTGAGGAGGAGGAGGGGTGGTTTGGTAATGACACGTGACCTTTTCTCTTTTTGGCATCATGGTGGCCCATGCCAGAGAATAATCTGGTTTTTAGCAATCATGGTTGTTTTCATATCACTACCCACTCATCCATCCACTCTTCGAATAAATATTCGTTTTAAATCCGATAGATTTTAATTCAATCTAATAACAAGATCAAGTTTTTTTTTTCTTTTGAAAATTTAGATTTAGATTGAATACGAATATAAATTTTTATCATAAAAATCATATCGAATCACAGGTCGGATGAAATTCTCCTAAACTTAATTCAAACAACATAACATATGAAGAGATATTATACTAAGATCAAATTTGGATATATCAAAACTTGACCTATACTCATCTTTATTTTCTTTCACTCCTTTGAGTCATGTGAGACAGACTATAGTTTAAATCCTCGAATCATTTAAAAATCTATCAAAATCATAAAATAAATATGAAATTACAAATTAAAAAACATTTACACTTGGTCCCTATCCTTTCTTTGATCATAAATAGAATCGGGGATGAAGTTGGAGATTTTACTCAATCAAAGTTCTTTTTTCTTTGTTAAAATGATTTAAATAGATTTATTAATTCTTGGGAGAGTCTAAGAGTATAATTTGTTTTCATCAACTAATATACTAATGTAGACTAAATTTAATTAATTAATTTTTGAAGGGACTAGAATTACAATTTCACCGTTACACAGGGCCAAGCCGCCTACCGCCCTGGATTTTAAATTTTTGTGGACAAAGCAAAGATTAGTTAAATTGTAAAATAACATATGCTAAAAAAGGCATTACGCAAGAACCTTGCCTTGTATAAACTATAAGAGAAATTACATTGGGGTGTGTATGGAATTACATTGGTGTCTGTTAGAAGAGTTCGTTAATCCGAGAATAATATAAAAAAATAATTATAATAATATCGTTATAAAAATTAAAGAGAAAAAATGAGTTGTGTGTGTTAGAAAGAGATTGTTAATTTGAGAATAATATAAAAGTATAATGGTAATAAAATCATTAAAAAAATTAAAGAGAATAAACGAGTTTACTATCTTAAAATTGTTTATTGAAGTAACAATTTGATGCGAAATCAAACCTGAGAAAATCAAACAAAGAAGTTAAACTTCGTAAAGTAAATCAAAATTAAATAGGAAGAAAAATACTATTTTTATTTTGATCAATTGAAATCGGAATCAATTGAGGCCTATCGCTACACAGTTTTCTTAAGACAAATATTTTGCCACTCCTTTGGTGCTCGAGTTCGTTGGTCGTCTGTCTCCTAGGATACACCAACTTATGACAGCTGCAATGGCACATTTGCAGATATCACGAACAATCGTTGCCTTCAACTATCAACATAAAACTAGTGGAAGATAAAACTTTTTTTCAAGATAAGAGAAGTTCTTGAAAACTTGTGAAAAACTTGTAACTTATGATTAACCTAGTAGGTTAACTCACTATTTACAAGGGATTTTCAAGAGAGATTTAATCCAACCAGATATCTTTTAATATTCAACTTTAAACAAATAATAATATCTTTTAATTTGAAATATTCAAAAGATAAAACTCCTTCTACCATTTAAACTTAAATAGATATTATGTTAATTTGAAATATACAAAAGTATATAATTATCTTTAATTTTCAAAATTAAAAAGATAACAAATATCTTTTTAAATTGACATACTGAAAGAGTAATTATCCTACTAATATTCAAATTAAATAATATATTTAATTTCCAATAGCCAAAAGAAATATGAAATTAATATAAATATTAAATTCATCAATTTAATTCACCTTTTTTCTAACAATCCACCAGATGAATGAAATTGGTGATTTAAACAAAAAAAATTAATAAAAATATTAAATCCATCAATTAAATTCAACTCTTTTTTCCAACAGTCCCTCACATGAATGAAATTGGTGATTTAATCAAAAACATTTTGGCACGATGTGGAGATAGCCTCTACGATCGATAGTTGCATAGGATAGATAGGTGTTCTCCTTTGAATCTTCCTTTGTGAAAGTATGTATCGCCCCAAATCCTTGGTTAGAAGTTTCGGGCTAATCCAAGATGGACCTTAGATGAATCCTTTAACTTACAGGAAGCTTTGACCCATGTTTGAGTAGATTTGGGCTTGGATTGAGCCCAATTGACCTGAAATGGTGTATTTTTGAATTTGACAAAACATTTGAAGGATTAGGGAGGTAATTATACCCTTTGTATTTTCCTCATTCTCCTTTGTCTTCTTCATTTCCATTCATCTCCTTCTTCATCGTCTTCAAGGGTAAGAAAATGTTAGAACTTGGTGAACCAACAAGCTTAGTTGAAATTCTTAAGGTAAGAATCATATCATACTCATCTCAAACTTCAATTCAAGCCCTTAATCTTTACATTTCACCAAGGTAACCAAAAGTGGGTTTAGTGGGGGTTTATAAACTGAAGTGAAACCAGCGAACAGTTTTGGGTTGGCAATCCAATGGTTAGGGCATTAGACTTGAAGAACCCAATAACATAAATATATCAACAAATAAAACTACAAGTGAGAACAATAATTAAATTCATAACAACTAAAAACAGTAACAACTAAGATTACATAAAACTAGTCTTATTTGACACTTGGGAAACAATTAGGGCACCTAAGTCTCTTTAGCATAATATGACCGTCAGTTGGATATCTTAGTCAGTGCCAAGGCACTTCAGTAGGAGACTGGGCGCAAATGCCCCAAGACTCGACGGAGTAAGTTGGTTAGGTGTACATTTCTGATACAGTTCTAGATTTCACCCCAAATACCCGAGGGTATTATAGAAATGCTAGAGGGCTGTGAGAGCTCCGAGACACAGATATGCATACTCAGCAATTCATAGAGTAGTTCCCATGATTTATATACCTATGCCACTTGCATGTTCATCTAGTGAATGCATGTAGTATAGTACAATTATTAGTGTGGCACTGAGCTCGTAAGCTCAGCATATGGAATGTATTTATCCTCATTACTAGATATTCCAGATCAGTAGCGATCCTCAGAGTATGTCTTGATTTGTATTAGAGGGCATGTATTGTTTATAGACCCTTATGTATTCAGTTGTAACTCTTTTGATTTAAACTCAAT